GAAGGAGACACCCATTAACTAATGCTTTAGGCAAAGCAAAAGCTTTAAAAAATTTATTAGAGAACATTTATTCAGATATCAACATACCTCATCCCATCATCCCAGGGTGGCATAATGCTTATGTTACCTTCAGCCTGCAAATATGTGCTACATAGGGCTGTATTATTGTGCCTTCTGTTTTCATAGATTTATATCACATTTCTTCAGTTTCCATGGTCTTGCCTCACTATTTTAAAATTGCTATAGATATAATATAATTCATTCTCCTCATGTTATTTCTATTGGTTTGCTAATATAGATATGCAATGAGGAACCTCGTATGTTGTAAGTATATAGCTTTCAGTTTCTGTGTAATTTTGACTTAGAGTGAATTCCTAAGGAATTGCTAAATCAAAGGATGTGACTCTTGTGATGTTTGATTTTTCTTGTAAAACTGCTTTCTGAGAAGAGTGTGCCAACTGGCGTTGCCTCTAGCTGTGAAGGTATATATCAGTTTTATGGCAGTCTTGTCAGTAGTGGGTAATAACATTTAAAAACAAATGTGTTGCTTTATTAGGTATTTAATGGCATATGAGTGGTGTGTCAATTTTGCTCTGCTTTGAATTTTTAAATTTTCTAATGAGTAAATATTCTACATTTATTTTTATAAATTCTATGTTCATGTCATTTAAACAGTCATCTATAGGGATCTTGATGGATATACAGGGGGTGCCAAATAAATGTATACACATTTTAAGTATGACATTCGCTTAAAAGGTGGCATTAATCAAATGAATGCCATGCGACAGGCAGGATAGTCAAAGAAAATGGTGGAAGCACGGTTGAGTGAACGTCATACTACACATTGCTATCTAAATTTAATTCAACTTCAAAAAGTATTACATAGATAACATCTCTTAAAATGTGTATACCTTTTTTGGCAAGGTCTATCTGAATTTCAATTTGTTGATACACAGATGTTTGTGGTGGTCTTGCCATTTCATCTGAGACTCACTGGGATGAAACAATCAGAGAAAGTCTGTGAAACATTCCATAAGACGACATCCTGGACCCTTCATAAACGTATCATAAAAAGTAAGAGAAACAGTTATAGACTAAAGAGACTAAAAAGTTATGGCAACTAAGTGCAATGAGGAGCTCTGGTTAGCTCACAGCAGAGGGAAATGCTAAACATTTTGGCAACGGACTTGAGGCCAGCAGGGAGGTTCTCAGGGACTAAGGGACTCTCTGGCTCCCTTCTTCACATTGTATAGGCCATTTCCTTCTCTGCCTGTGGGTGATAGGGTCGATCACACTCAGTCCTGACCCTTGGCTTTCCTTTCCAGAGGAATGTGCCACTGGGGCTTTTACCAGCCACGGGGCTCCCACCCTTGCTTCTTTCTGTTTGTCCTGTAGTTTCACCTGTGGGGCCTCATTGGGAGCATGTTCACCTGCATACTTTTCTCTCTTTCTTGTCATCTTGTGCTTTTCCAAACCTTGGACATAAAATCTGACTTAAAAGGGAGTACAGGTATGTTCTGGGGCAGGAATAATAGAAACATTTGGGGAAGTGGAGCTCAGATAGACCTTGCCTTGAAGGAGTGATCCTCGGCTGTCTGCCTGACCTGTTCCCTCCCTTCCTTCCAACTCTCCCATCCCCCACTCCCTTGCAACTTTTTATTTATTTATTTTTGAGTCTGAGTCTCACTCTGTCACCCAGGCTGGAGTGCAATGGCACGCTCATGGCCACCGCAGCCTTGACCTGCTGGACTCAGGTGATCCTTTCACCTCAACCTTCCAAGTAGCTGGAAATATAGGCACGCACCACCTCGCCTGCCTAATATTTTCGATTTATTGTAGAGATGAAGTCTCGCCAAGTTGCCCGGGCTGGTCTCCAATCCCTGGGCTCAGGCAGTCCTCTTGCCTTCACCTCCTAAAGTGCTAGGATTACAGGCGTGAACCACTGTGGGGGGGGGGCTGCAACTTTAAACAGCTTCCCTCCTGGTACCAAAGCACCCCACCGAGAGGACTTTAAAAATAAATGGAGTCGAATTAATTGGTTGCCATCCTGCCCTGTAAAATCAGCGTAAGTACATTTTAAAACATTTTATTTCATTGCTGGTTATTTCTGTAAAAGTAGAGAATAAGGCTTTCAGGAAGAACTCTAACCACCATTACAACAGTATCCCTTTGAGAAAATTAGATTGGATTCTTCACTATTTTAACTGAAAATAGAATTTTCCAGGATGAAAACGACTAGTAAATTTGAGAGATTTGTAAATCAAATTGCATCCTAAATGCATGACTGGCTCTTGACTTGGCTGTATTCCGTAGTGGCTCCTTCTGTGAAAGAAGTTAAGAATGCTTTTTACAGAAAGACTTTCCACCCTGTGGACTACAGTGCCCCAGGCCTGAGTTTTTTGGATTGGATTTTTGTAGATAGGTTTGTAACAAGTAAGGGCTACTGAACAGATTTGGTTTTTAGTTACCCCATTTTTTTCTGCTTCTAAAAATAGTAGAACATTCTAAATACAGTGAAAGTGTGAAGCAGGGAAAAAAAGTCACCTGTAATTGCAGAGTTGAATGATGATCTCCATGGTGTCTCTCTCTCTCTCTCTCTCTCTCTCTCTCTCTCTCTCTCTCTCTCTCTGTGTGTGTGTGTGTGTGTGTGTGTGTGTGTGTGTTTACTAAAACATAGACCTGGGTTCTTCCTGTGATCATTTAGGCAGCAGGTCGACAACCCAGGATAGGAGGTGGTGAGCTTTCTGTGCTCAGAAGGTAGTCAGTGTCTGAGACTTTTTGAAACAATAAATACCAATTAAAAAGGAAAGCCAGGCTGGCTGGGGCCAAGAGGTAGGCGGCCAACAAGCAGACCCCACCTGGGTCAGCTGAGGATGCAGACTGGGAATGCTGTGGGCAGATCCCTAATAAACAGTACCTGTTTGCCTGGAGTCTGCTTCTCCCTGAAAGCACATGCTGGGCATTTGGTCCCATTCTTGCCTTTTTCCTCCGTCTGTTTTACTTTCCCTCTACCCTACCCTCTCTAGACTAACAAGATTAATCAGCTGTTGAGGTGACACATGTGGCCTCTACTGCAGGGAACATTATATTCAAAGAGGTCAGGGAGGAAGCCATGCTCTTCCCTGAAGACTGGTCTTGTTGTGAGAGGGATGTCGGGCACTGGCTGCACGGGAGGTGTGTTAAGCTGTGTTATTCAGGGGACCTTCCAGGGCCTGCATGAAGGTGCCAGGAGCTTGGCAGGAGACCCAGAGTCTGCCCAGGGAAGCCACAAGCAGCTGACTCCCTTGTGATGGGAACCACTCTGAGGAGAGATTTAGGGACCTGCTGCAGGCAGTGTGACCTGTTCCTTAGAGCCGTGTCTGGATGGTGGAACACTGGCTTCTTCCCCTGGGTTAGAATCTGGGCTCCACCACTTAGTAGCTGTGTTAACAAGAACAGGTTACTTTAACTTTCTTCCTCACTTTACACGTAGCAGTACCCTTGAAGGAGGGTGGGTGTGAGCATTCGGTGATTTCCACCTGTTACACACTTAGCATAGCACCTGACACTGTGTCAGAGTACAGTAAGTATTGGCCATTGTCATTGTCATCACATCTTAATCAGCTCAGACTGTCATAACAAAATACCAAAGACTGGGTGGCTTAAGCCACAGACACATCCTTCTCATAGATCTGGAGGCTGGAAGACCAAGGTCAAGGTGCCGGCATGGTTAGGTTCTGGTTAGGTGAGAGCTTTTTTCCTGGCTTGTACACAGTGAACGTTTTGCTGTGTGCTCACATGGCAGGGAGCTAGCTCAGTAGGTCTCTTTGTCTGGCTTTTTTTTTTTGAGTTGGAATCCCACTCCATCACCCAGGCTAGAGTATAGTGGCACGCTCATGGCCACCCCAGCATTGACCTGCTGGGCTCCAGCAATCCTTCCACCTCAGCCTTCCAAGCAACCGGAACTACAGGGGTGTGTTCCCATGCCCAGCTAATATTTTAATTTATTGTAGAGACAAGATCTCACCCTGTTGCCCTGGCTGGTCTTGAACTCATGGGCTCAGGCAGTCCTCTAGCCTGGGTCTCCCAAAGTGCTGGGATTACAGGCTTGGGCCACTGCACCAAGCCTGTATTGCTCTTCTTATAAGGACACTAATCTCATCAAGGAGTTCCATCCTCCTCGTGACTTCATCTAAACCTAATCACCTCCCGAAGGCCCCACTTCCAAATACCATCCCATTGAAGGTTAGAGCTTTGATATATTGATTTTAAGGGAACACATCCCATTCATAACAATCATTTTTGTTATCATTTATTAGTCCTCTAACAAGGCATTCTTAGGTTTGGGGCCCATCTCAGGGGTAGAAGGAAGGAAAAATAAGGAAGGTCCTTTGGTCTCCAGTGTGGTCTTAACACCCATGGTGGTAGATCTGCTTTCAGTCTTATATTTTCTTTGCCTTTTGACCTTTGGGAAAAGGTTCTTGGTAGTTCTAGTCTAGGTAAGAGGGAGAAGGAAGAAGTCAGATTAATTAGGCAGCTGCTTCTCTGAACCCAGCAACTTGGGATGTGGGGGTCACCCCATTGGCTCCTCTCAGCTGCCCGTGTAGTCAGCACTGTACCCCCATTTACAGAGAGAGATGTCCTCAGAGCTCAGAATGAGGAAATACCCTCTGTCCAAGGTCATGCAGCTCAGAAGTTGCACTGGGATTTTAACCTTGAGGCTTTTGACCCCCAAGCCCTTGAAACATGGGGAGGAATGGGACGGCCACTCTGGGAGCAGGACTTGGTTGGGAATGGACTCCGGTGCAACAGGAACACACGCCCTCATCTCTCCACCCTGCGTGTGCTTGCTCACTCCCACTGAGTCATGGGAGTCTCAGATCCCCAAGTCCCTCCACAAGGCGGGTTGCCTTCCACCACCCCACCTCCATCACCCTGGGTGGTGTGACTCGCCAGCAGGAGGTTGTCTGAAGGTGCACTAACCCAGACTTTGTTCTCTTCTCTGTCCTGTCCTTCCGCAGCCCCTAAAGACAATGAAGAGCGCGTGTTCAGGGAACGCATGCGACCCCGGAAGCGGCAGGGGGCTGTCAGGCGCAGGGTCCACCAGGTCAACGGCCACAAGTTCATGGCCACCTACCTTCGGCAGCCCACCTACTGCTCGCACTGCAGAGATTTCATTTGGTAAGCCCTCTCCCCTGGGAACCTCTGGTGACAATGTTGAGAATAGGGTGAGGGAGATGAGGAACTTCATTTAAAAAGTGCTTGGGGTGCCTTATTTCTTCTTTGTCTGCTTGCAGAGGGCTAAGTGTTTGGTGCATGGGGAGGGGTGATAAATGGAAAAAAATGTGTGTGGTGCATGGGGGGGATAAATGGAAAAAAATGATAGTTTCTAGTGACTTTATACCTAGGATTATATTGTATATTTTGTCCTACCAAGATTTTGTCACCAATAATGATATGGTAAGTTTTTTTTAAAAAAAGAATCTTTATCTTTTAGAGAGACTAAGTAAATTATTTGCAAATGAAATAATGTCTGAAATTTTTTTTTTTTGGTTGAGGTCTCACTCTGTCTCCCAGGCTGGAGTGCCAAGGCATACTCACAGCCACCCCAGTGTCGACCTGCTAGGCTCAGGCAATCCTTCTGCCTCAGCCTTCCAAGTATCTGGAACTACAGGCGCACGCTACCATGCCCAGCTAATTTTTTTGATTTATTGTAGAGACGCGGTCTTGCCAAGTTGCCTGGGCTGGTCTCGAACCCACTCGCCTTGGCCTCCCAAAGTGCTGGGATTGTAGGCTGAGCCACTGAGCCCGGCCTGAAATTTGTTTTAAAAAATTCCAGAAAAAGGGGAGAGAGGGGTCAGGGGTAGAAATGATCTAAGACGACTGACTATGTTCAAAGTTGGTGGAGCTGAGTGATGGGGCACGTGAGGGCCTGCTATATTCATCACTCGACTTTGGTGTACATTTGATTTGTTCCATAATGAAGTCTCAAAATACTCCATGGCCAACGTCTGTAACACGAAACAGTTCTTAGTTAACCGTTCTAACAGTGTTGCTGCTAGGATGCTGAAATTTCAGAGGAGAGACTGATGTTGGCTAGAGTCGTCACAAAAGGCTTCCTGGGGGAGGTGACATTTCTCCTTTTGAGATGACTAAGGGTTTGATAGGCAGAGATAGGTAGATCGTAGGCCTTTGGGGAGGCAGAAGAGGATGCGGAACACTAGTCTTGGGGTTGGAGGAGGATTTTAGGTGATGCCAGGTTCTATCTTAGACACTGGAAATATATAATTAAATCTTCCCAATATCCTCTGAACTATGTGGGATAAACCCCATTCTGCTAATGATATTGAGGCTCAGAAATGAAAGCAAGACTCATCTGATGTCCCCAGTTACCTGACTTTAACATGATGTCCCATTAGCCTTTCTGGAAAGCTCTCTGGGTTCTTTGAAGCTGACACAGAGATTGCCATCCCACATGGATCCAGAATGGGAGAGTGAGTAAGGCCAAGTTTCAGTGTGACGCCAGCCAGGGACATTTGAGCTAGGCTCTGAGGACCCCCTCTATTCCTGAAATGTCCAGGCATCACTTGTTATCATCATGGTATTATAAAATAAGTCACTGAGGTCAGCATGGACATCAGAGAGACACAGCTCAGTACAAACTCAACCCAGCTGAGGCAGAAATAATGTCCCATTCCGTCACAAACACTTCACTTCCCAGGGCGACTCCACTGCCTGGCCTCCATTTTCTATGTTAGCTCATGAACTGAGTGGTTGGTCTCACAGATCCAGGTCTCCTCTAAGCCCATGGTAAAAATCCACTGAGGTCTAGGTTCCCTGTGGTGTAGCTGGAATGGCCCCCGGTTCCTTCTGCTGGGCTGAAAACTGCAGAGAGCTCCCTGCAGCTGTTGTTGGTACACTGAGGACAGGGGTGAAGCCAGGTTGGTTTGATTGTTCTGTGTTCATGCTGACATTCAGCCTTGCCCTGGGTACCCTACACTAGCACAGAAGAAACCTCTAATGTTGGCCTTCACCAAAAGGCTCAGTTGAACCCCCAGCCCTGGCCACAGACTGGCCCAGAATCTTTGGTGGTCTCTGGAGTGCCCAGGGCGCTTGTCTGCCAATGCAGCCTTCCCCCACAATTAGAGAACTTACAGGGCTGGTCCTGGTGCTAGGAGACAAGGAATGGCCTTTCCATCTATGAGGAAAGGGCATGTTTGATTGGTCAAGGCCTGCCGAGAGCTTTGTGGCATTCCAAAACACTGCAGACCCCACTGGAATAACCACCTCTATAGGAAACCAAGCTCTGACACCAGATCGTGTACCTTCTCCAAGTGCTGGAGCTGCTTGTGGCCTTCTGGAAGGAGACATTCTTAAGGCACCCTGCAAGTGGGAGTGACATCACACTGTTCCAAGGACACCATGTATTTGGTTCAATAGGGGTGGTGGCCAGAATTGAGTAGTGGCAGGAGTTGGGTGGCTTTGCATGTTTGTTTTTTGACCTGGCAACATTTCACTCTTTTTTTTTTTAAAGGATTGTGTTCTTCTTTTCAGGGGTGTCATAGGAAAGCAGGGATACCAATGTCAAGGTAAGAGGCATTTATGAACTAAATCTTTGGAAGCCCACAGTTAGGTCCAGATCATGAATGCCTTTAGGTTTAGGCTTGAGCAGGGTTTGATGACATCCAGAGGCTGTCTAGGGCCTGTGTGCTTATACTTCCTCTCCAAGAGGTAAGACCCTGCTTTCTTTGTCCCCGCCTGGTCATGACTCCCACATGGGAGGTACCTTGTGGGTGCCACCTATCTCCAGGTGTCCCTGTGGTCCCAGCAAGCCACCAATCCACCCAGCCTTTGTGAACCAGCTGAAGCAGCTGTCCTGGTGAGACATGCAGCTTCAGTCAGAGGCTCTTTGACAATCTGGCTTTGTCCTGAGTGGGGCTGTCGCCTGCCAGCCCCCCACCCCCTCCACTCCCTGAAGAAGCTCCCTCACCTGCTTGTTTTTATCCGGTCTCACTGAATAGTCCTTGCTGATTCCCTATTTTTGTCTCTACTGTGGAATCATCAACTCTTAAAAACTTGAAGCTCACTTGAAGGCATTGAAGATTATTCTTGTCCAGTTAATTGACTACAAATGCAAGGTGAAGTTGAACAAAATTGAAGAGTGATCATCATATATGGTCATGCCGAGGTCTCTCTGTGGGTGGAATAAGGAGGTCATTCCATCTCCTCATCCAGCACTGTTTTACTTGGGTCTCACCCTCGGGGGAATTTGGGTGACTTCTGTTGGAAGTTGTGTCTTTGGGGAAACACGTGTGCAAACAGACTGACTTACCTCTTTAGCCATCTGTTGCCCATGCTGTCCCATGACACTAAAGACAGAACTCTAGGCTGCTTCTGTGGACATTTTAAATTTGATGGGAATTTTAAGGCTTGGCATGTCAGGGCACAGCCAGAGAAAAAAGCCCAAGGATGTCCATGCCACCTGTCGCGGTCCTCCCTACCATATCAGCCACCCTGGCAGGATCCTGAGTGGGACACGAGGCTACCGCCACACTTTAATAGACAGTCTTCCATGACAGTGCTTCTCGGGAAGGCTGGGGAGGATGTCGTTCCTTGACCTTGGCTTATCAAAGTGAGAAAATTGATCGGTGCTCCCTCACAAGAGAAAACTGCCGACGCCCTTGGAATAGACATTTTTTATTTCTCTCCAGAGCATTTAGGAAACCCTGAGGGCTCTGGTGGTGTGTACTGAAATAACTGCATAAATGGTTTTACAGGGGAGGAATTAAGGCTCAGGGACAGAAGGCACCTGGTTCCCCTTATCCCTCTACCAAGCCCCTATTAGATCCTAGGAGGGACACCCTCCTTCTCGTGTGTCGCTCAGACTTCCTGTCTTTGCTGTTTGCAGTCTGCACCTGTGTGGTCCACAAGCGGTGTCACGAGCTCATCATTACCAAGTGTGCTGGCTTAAAGAGACAGGAGACCCCCGACCAGGTAAGTGTGTGTGACGTGGAGATGCTGGGATTCCACCACCAGCCCCTCCCTCTGCTGCCTTCTCCCATGGTCCCCAAGAAAGCCTCCTCTCCCTGAGACCCCATCACTTTCTTCATTGTATTGATCACAAATGAGGGGAGCTGCCCACCATTTCCTGATGGGGCACGACCTACCGGATGAGGGCAGCTCCAGGTCCATTTCATGGAGGTTGTACCAAGTGCAGTGTAATCCCAAAGCTCAAGCCCACAGGAAAAACATGAATCCTTTGGTTTTGTGATTTCATCAGAACACAGGAGTGGCTAACTGATGTGTCACTGGCTCCACGCAGGTAATACACAGTAATAGAAACACAACACACAAGCAGGAACCTTATCTCTGATGAGCTGAGGGGGGAATGGACTGGAATGAACAAGTCCAAGGAATACTTGAGAGGCAGAAATAACCACACGAATGATAATAGTCAACATTCATTGGTTACTTACCATGCCCTGATTTAAGCACTTGAACATGTATTATTTAACTCCATAGCAACTTAATGAGGTAGATGTTGTCATCTTCATTTTACAACACTGAGGATATGAGCACAGAGAGGTCAAATTAACTTGCTGCCAATCACACAGCTGAGAGCCATGTTCAAAGCCAGGCAGTCTTTTCTGGAGTCTGATCCCTTGACTGCTGCACTATGTTGTCTCTTAATCTTAGAAACTAGCATTGGTTCGACTGTTAAGGAAGTTGTCAGAGGCAAGAAAGTAGGGAAATTCAACCATGAAGCTAAGTTTTCCTAACTGAATGGTTGGAAGCATGAGGATATCACTGATAGATTAAAAAACCTTTAAGATGACACATGCGAACGTGGAATAGGTGTTATCAGAACAGTTGATTTCAAAGGCATGTTTTTAATTCTAAGTTAAATGGTGACTGTATAATCATAGGCTATTAGAATCGGGTGTCAGAAAGAAGCCCTGGGTAGGTTTATAAACAGCTGGGTTTATAATCAGGCAAGCCTACAATTTGGCTTTCAACAGGAGTGACTTACAGAGACCTACCTGCTTTTTTAATAATTCAGCCAAACAGCATCTTGGCACCTAAGACATTTCCCATCTTCTTTCTCCCTTTGCTTTCTTGTTATCTCTGGAAAGCAGCAAAGGACAAGGCTTAAACTGAGCCTTCCGTGTCCCTGGAGGGCAGACTGAGCTCAGAGTTCCAAAGTGCAGCACAGTCTCCTGACTCCTGGTCTGGGATCACGACCTCAAAGTTACCCTCATTGCTTTCACAAGTAAATGAAAGAAAAGAATGGCTTGCTATCTGACTTCCTTCCTTTCTGTGGACATCCCATTGACCATTTACTGGACCGTCCTCACAGGACGTATCCTCAAGAATCTACAGGTTGAAACCTCAACCTGTAGAGGTTTCTAAAGCTCTTCCACCTTCCTTGGAGGGAATAGTTCCACAAGAGTGCTTGCCATGCAGGTTGGCGAGTTGAGAGTTTGAATGCTCAGAACCTAGATTAAGCTGTGATCCAGTTCTTGTGACTTATTTCCTGGCATATTGAGCAGTGAAAAGAATTCTCCTGTGAGGTGTGGTCCCAAATGTGGCATGTGTCCCAAGGGACAAATTAGCAGGAACTGAGGAAGAAAGGCTTTGGGTCCTTTAGCTCGGCAGAGCCACCTGCCCATCCTGGTACTCCTGCCACCATCGCATGCATCCCGAGGCCCGTATCCTTTCGTGTCCATGGGTCTGGCCCATCAAGTCCATGGGCGTGCCCTCTGCTGGTACCAGGAACCAAATTGGAGTGGATTCTTTTGTGTAATACCCTTTAGCATGATGCATGTGCACACACATGTGCATACACCATACATACATATAACCCAACACAAACCCCAACACCATGCTTCTAATGCCCTCTCTCCTTTTAATTTTTTTTTTTTTTTTTTTGAGCCAGAGTATCACTCTGTCGCCCAGGCTGGAGTGCAGTGGCATGCTCATAACCACCGCAGCCTCAAGCGGCAGGGCTCAGGTGATCCTTCCATCTCAGCCTTCCAAGTAGCTGGGACTGCAGGCATGCACCACCATGACCAGCTAATTTTTTGATTTATTGTGGTGACGAGATCTCACCAAGTTGCCCAGGCTGGTCTTGAACCCTAGGCTCAGGCAATCCTCTCGCCTTAGTCTCCCAAAGTGCTGGAATTACAGGCGTGAGCCTCTCCCTCCTCTTAGAAGGTGCCCTGGCAAGGGGCTCCTTGGAGCTTCTGCTCCAAGAGTGCTCAGCTGGCACATTGCCCATCTCCTGTCTGGGTATTAGCACTTAGTACTCATCACACCCTCCCCGTAGCTTCAGGTGTGGTGACCAAGGAATGCTCCATCTCTCTTTGTGTTATTTTTTCTTTTTCTTTCTTTTTTTCTTGTTTGAGTTGAAGTCTCTGTTGCCTAGGCTGGAGCTCAGTGGCACAATCACAGTTACTGCAGCCTTGACTTCCTGGGCTTAGGTGATCCTTCTGCCTCTGCCTCCTGAGTAGTTGAGACTACAGGAATGCACCGTCATGGTCAGCTAATTTTTAAAATGTATTTGTAGACCTTGTAGAGACAAGGTCTTGCTATGTTGCCTACGCTGGTCTCAAACTCCTGGGCTCAGGCAATCCTTTCGCCTTGGCCTCCCAAAGTATTGGGATTACAGATGTGAGCCACCACGCCTAGCCTCTTTTTCTTTCTTTTTTTTTTTAATCTTATAATTTTTGTCCTTCCCTTTTCTCCCTCTCTGTGTTCTCTCTCGAGTCTCGCTCACTCCTTTGTTTCCATGTCCTCCCCAGCAGGGCATGTGCACATGTCCACCTGCATGCATGTGCTCAGCACTTGTGTCTCAGTCTGTGTGATTCTGAATTTCTGGGTTGCTCTTACGTGTGCCTCTTCATCTTCCTCCTGCTGTTCTCTGACATCTTAGAGTTTTTAGTGGTTCCAAGCGAGGGCCATGCAGCCCTCTTCACACCCACACTGACTCTCCCAGTCCCCTGGGACAACTTCCCCACTTTTTAACCTTGATCATTCATTGTCCTTGTGATGCTATTCCTGGGAGACTGAGACTCTATTGTCAACACAAGTCCCCCATGTCCTCAGGATTTGTGGAGGAATAGAGTGAACACAGTGATCTCATGCGTCCTTAGACGTGAGGCAGGCAGTAGCAGAATCGACACGTCCCTAGTCACAGACCGGCACACCCAAGCTATAAATCTCAGGAGGGGCAGGTGTCTCCAATAAATCCGGGAATCGTGTACCTGGGCAAGACCCTAACCGATACCCCATGCATCTCAAAGCGAGGATCAGGAAAATCCTGGTCCAGTGGAAGGATCAGCCATTCCTTGGAGCTGGGTGATGGGGAACTCATTATGAAGTCAGTGACGTGGAGTGGGTGCTCACTGCTGTGCCTTCATGCATGTGTTCAAGTCCATGTCCCCGTCCAGCTCTCTCCGATACTTTTCTTAGTGCCCCACGGGGACTTTTCACTCACCCGTTGGCCAGGGAGCCAAGGCCCAACTGCTCTGCTGCATATTGACCACTTTCTAATTCCCAAAATAGCACACAGATGTTTCCAGTGATGGTCTCCTGCCCATTCTGAGGCGGCCTGGGTTGTGCAACTGCACAGAGACATAGGGGAGGGTAGCTCTGTGGAGGGGTAGAGACAATTCAGGAAGGAGCCCGTGCTAATGGCCCTTGCTTCTGTGGGACACATCACACTTCCCACCCCTGCCACACCTGTTATCTCATCGACCCCACAGTCCTGGGACCTTGGGTGAGACAAAGTGGAGGCAGGGGGCGAGGAGGGGGCTGTTTTCCTTATTTGCCAGATGAGAAATCCAAGGCCCAAGAAGTTAGGAAACCTGAGACCTCATGAGTGGATGTGGCAGTCCCAGGCTCACAGACCAGACCCCTAGACTCCTTCCCCTCCCGTCTTACTGCCTTCTCTCTACACCTTTTTTGCAATCGGCAAGATGCTATCACAGCGGCTAAGGAGCCTGGGCTCTGAGTTCATGCTTGTGGGCACAGAAACCTGTCTTTGCCTCTCGTCAGTTTACAGGCAAGTTTCTTAATCCCACTGATCCTTCCTTTCCTTATCTGTGAACTCGAGGTGACCACGGGCCTAGCCCATAGGGTGGTGGTGAGATTGAACGAGGTCATGATGCCTGGCATGTGGACAGCACTGATACCTTAGTATCCTCAGTGGTCACCACGCCATATTAACCATCTTCATTCTAATTATTGTTTGTCCTGACCCACGGTTCCCGTGGCGCTGTGCTGAGTTCTCACGCCACTGTACAGAATCCCGTGTCCACGGTCGAGCTGCCCAAAGACTTTGCCTGGGCGGGGCTTCCATGCACAAAGCAGCATTGAAGGCACACACATGGTGACATCCCAGGAGTGGCTGAGATGTGAGGGGCAAATCGAGTGCAATGTGATGTTATTATTCAGAGGCCTGAAATAACATGGGGGAGCAGGCATGGCCTTGCAGAGTCCGATGGAGTAGCCAGCAATGAGTTGGGGCATTCAGAGTGCACACGGGGGGCAGGGCGGGCACTCTTCACCTTATGTCTCAGGGCAGCTTTCAGGTCCAAGCCAGGACCTGCCAACCACAACAACACGTGCTCTCTAGGAAAAGTTCTGAGAGTTCGGATACCAAGCCCGCTGGGGCATGAAGACGCTTGGTGGTGACTTTGTATCTTGCTGTCCCTGCAGGTGGGCTCCCAGCGGTTCAGCGTGAACATGCCCCACAAGTTCGGTATCCACAACTACAAGGTCCCCACCTTCTGCGACCACTGTGGGTCCTTGCTCTGGGGGCTCTTGCGGCAGGGTTTGCAGTGTAAAGGTAAGTGGCTCCCAACCCTGTCTTGTCCCCTGCCCCCGCATGCCCCCTTTTGTCTCCTCTCTGTAAGAACCCTTGTCTGTCCTTGTAGCTTAGAAAGTAAGATTTGTGGGAGGACTGAGCACAGGCTCTTGTCAAGTCCTCATTCATAACATGTTTGAGTTTTTCTTGGGGGGAAGACCCTCCGAAACTCTGTGGAGGAAAACACCGAGGAGGAGGAAGGGCGACCCCACCTCGTAGGATCCTTAACAAGCTGGGGAGACAAGACAAATCTCCAAAAGTATAGAAAAAATGTAAGGAAAGGTACATTGGCACAGAAGGGAAGAAACCTGTCTGGAGCTAGGCTGTACAGTAAGCGCCAGATATGAATTAGGGCATTTCTCTCATGAGTCGAGGTTCAGAGCTTACTTCTGGAGGACCTTTACTAAAGACCCCGCTGCATAAGAGAGCCTGCTGATCCCTCATAGGCTTGGGACATAGGTGATATTATTCTCACAGACCCAGTGACGAAACTGAGGCTCAGAGACTAAGTAACTTGCTTGCATCACACAGCTTATTAGCAGAAGTGGGATTTGAACCTTGACTCTTGAATCCCTGCTGTCCCTAAACTGTCTCCTCGGAGGGGCATGCTGAGTGGTGCAGGGAACAGCACATAACACAGGGATTGGGAACATACTCTGGGGGCCTAGGTAGAGTGTCCACTTCTATAAGCTGGTCCAGGGTCAGACAACAATGAACTATTGGGCAGGAATATTGCACAGGCATTGTTTTAAGAGGGTGTTTTTTTATTTGTACTGAATGTATTACTAATAACTTCCCATTGTGGAGAAATGAGAATAGGTAAAGTATAAGACCATAAACTGAGGGCACAACAAATTGGTCTTTGAAGGAATTTCAGTGAGAAATGATGAGTATTGGAAATAAGATAAGGGTTGTGGTAGAAAAATAAAAGAGAATACTGTAAGTCCCCTACGTACAGACCTTCAAGTTACAAACTTTAACGATGCACATGTATTATGTCTCTCTGCCAGGTGTCAATATAGCCTGTTAAATACACACAGTACTATTGCAATGATTGTATTAGTTGGGTACCTAGGTTAACTTTGTGAGACTTAAAACAAATTGGACTTACAAACACGCTCTTCAGATGGAACTCATTTTTATGTTGGGGACTTCCTGTAGCTTTAACATATGGAAGAGGAGTAATTTGTTGAATTTAGAGACTGGGCCCAACTGGAAAGATAGTGATACCACTCACTGAGATGGGGAGATGAGGGTGGGATGGGCTTGGAGGTAGAGATGGACCTGAGCTGAGGGCGTGTTAACTTGAGGGACATTTATGCGGAACTGTCCACCTGTTGGGTATTCTTGCTGACACTCGGCAGACATTCTTGCTGACTCGGGAGAGAGGTCTAGATGGTGTTTAGATCCGGGATTTGTCAGGATCTAAGTAGCAGTTAAAGCTCTAAAGTCAATGTCATTCTCCAGGCAAGCACCTTGAGTGTGAATAGAGAAAAGTTAGATAGTATCTTGGGGTGGGGGAAGAGAGGTTACCACCTCCAGGAATGGGCCTGCCAAGGCAGAGAGAGGGCAGGACCTCAAGGGCAGGAGGAAAAGTAGCAAAAAATCTGGCACCATGAAAGTCAAGAGTAGAGAGTCTAAAACAAAAACTTCAAAAGAAGTGGTGAACAATGCCAAATGCTCCCAAGGGGTTACTTAAGATAAGACATGAGGCTGGGTTGGTGGCTCATGCTTGTAATCCCTGCACTTTGGAAGACTGAGGCAGGAGGATCACCTGAGTCCAGGCATTCGAAATCAGCCTGGGCAACCTGGCGAGACCTCATCTCTACAAAAAAATGAAAAGATTAGCCAGGCGTGATGGTGCACACCTATAGACCTAGCTACTCAGGAGCCTGAGGTGGAAGGATCACCTGAACCCAGGAGGCGAGGCTGCAGTGAGCCATGGTTGTGCCACTGCCCTCCAGCCTGGAAGAAAGAGTGAGACGTCTGCTAAAAAACAAACAAACAAACATGACACATGGGGCTGGGTTAGCAAGAAGGTCACCAGTGATTGCAGCAGAAGCTGCCTTAGTGGGATGGGGGGATGAAAGTGCAATGGCCTGGAGTGTGCATGGAGGGAGAAGTATTTTTAGACAGTCAGGAAAAAAACCATGGAAATAGAGAGATGGCTGAGCCAGGAGGGAGAGGGATGCTTGATACACCGTGGGCAGAGGAGGGGGCAGGCCTTGGGGAGAATGATGGATATCCTCCCCAGGAGGCGAGGAAAACCTGAAGACCAGGCCTATGTCTCTGGTTTCAGGGACAGAGACCCAGGAGGAGGTGAGTGGACAAAGTTGTCATTTACGTGTGGGATCTGTTGAGGGCATTGCTATACGATTTCCCTTATTTTCTGAAACAGGGGTTCCTTTTTGAAGTTGGAGGGAGAAGTGGGGGTGTGGAAGGCACAAGGAGGGTGAGGAAGAGGGTTCTGACCCTGGACACAAGGACGTTCTGACTGTCGACACACCCGCTTTGTGGTGAGCTTCCTAGCATCTCTGGAGGCGGGAGTGAAGCCATTCCATCTTTCCTTTGGTGTATTCTTTTTTTATTTTTTATTTTTATTTTATTTATTTATTTTTTTGAGTTGGAGTCTCACTCTGTTACCCAGACTGGAGTACAGTGGCCGCGACCTGCTGGGCTCCGACGATCCTTCCGCCTCAGCCTTCTGAGTAGCTGGAACTACAGGTGCGCGCTACCACACCCGGCTCATTTTGATTTATTGTAGAGATGAGGTCTCGCCAAGTTGCCCAGGTGGGTCTTGAACCCGCAGGCTCAGGCGATCCACTCACCTCAGCCTCCCAAAGTGCTGGGACTACAGGCTGGGCCACCGAGTCCGGTGTATTCTTTTTTTTAAAAACCAGTTTACTTAAAGTATAATTTATGTACAGTAAAATTTTACCTTTTTTAGTCATATAGTTTTTCATTTCTTTGTTATTTTAGATTCAAGGTGTACACGTGCCTGTTTGTTACCTGTGTCTATTGCGTGTTGGTAATTTTAGGGCCTTCGTTGAGCCTGTCACCCAAATGGTGAACACAGTACTCAACAGATAGTTTCTTAGCCTGAACCCTCTCCCACCCTCTTCCCTTAGGAATCCCCAGTGTCTGTAATTACCATCCTTATGCCCGTGTGTGCCCAGTGTTTTCATCCCACTTATAAACGAGAGCATGCCATATTCAGTTTTCTGTTTCTGTGTTGATTCGCTCAGACTAATGACCCCCAGTTGCATGGTGGTGCCCAGGACATGAGTTCATCCCTTTTTATGGCTGTGTAGTATTCCATGGTGTATATGTACCACATTTTCCTTATCCAGTCTCTGGGGCATCTAGGTTGGATCTGTTTTTGCTATTGTACACAGTACTTGCATGAACATATGAGTGCTGGTGTCTTTTTGATAGAGTGACTTATGCTTCTTTAGGTAGATGCCCCAGTCATGAGATTGCTGGGTTGAATGGTAAATCTTATTTTTAATAACTTTGGGAAATTTCCTTTGGGTGGTCTTTCTAGCATGTGTCCCTGGACAAAACAGGGCCTGTATGAAATCCTTTAGGTGAAATGAAAACAGTGGAAGAGGAGGAAAGAAAGAGAGCAGGAACCCCAATTGGTTTAGCCAAGGAGTAATGCATTTTTGGAAAGATGAGTTCGGTTACTGGGAAGCAGAGCCTGCTTTGAGTGGGACTCAAATAGTAAATATATTAATAATTGATCTATTTTGCAAATCTAAATGATACTGTTATTTCATAAATAATGATATTTTAAGAAAGTAGCTCAGAAGCCCAGACAGCCCTGCTAGGGGTGTGAGTTTCCAGTTGACCCTGGAAGAAGGTAGAACCCAGGGACTGTGTCTTTAGCTGTTGGGCAGGAAATGCTCTTACCCAGGTTCATGGAAAGATGGGGGAGAATGAGGGTACCTGGAACAAGGACATCTGTTCACAGGAGTCCAGACACCACAGGGGATTTAGGTCACAGAGAGGCTGGGAGGTGAGGGCTGTCCAGAATTTAGTGTCTCCAGCAAAAGTTCACAGACCTCCCTCCTGGTCATCGGATGCTGTGACTTGGCCATTTCCCCTCTTGCTGTCCTTCTGTGTCTCCTCTCTCTCTCTTTTTTTTAATCAAGAGATTTAATTTTTTTCTTTTTCTTTTTTTGAGTTCATGTCTCACTCTGTTGCCCAGGCTAGAGTGCATTGGTACGATCATGGCTCACCACAGCCTCCCCCTCCTGGACTCAGGAGATCCTTCTGCCTCAGCCTCCCAAGGAGCTGAGACTGTAGGCAAATACCAACACACCTGGCTAACTTTTTGATTTCTTGTAGAGATGAAGTCTCACTATGTTTTCCAGAATGGTCTCAAACTCCTAGCTCAAGCAATCCTCCCACCTTAGCTTCTCTAAGTGCTGGGAGCTATTTATTGTGCCTGGCCAAGACTTAATTTTTTAAAAGCAGTTTTAAAAATAGAATGGAAAGTATAGAGAGCTCTCCTAGACCCTCTGCTCCACACAACCACAGCCCCCTCCCCCCCCCCCCACTGGCAGCCCCACCAGAGCAGTTCATCTGCTACAATCAGTGACCCTGCATTGGCACGTCAGTATCCCCCAAAGCCCATAGTTGACCTCAGGGCTCATTCTATGGGCTTGAGCAAATGCACAATGGCATGTATCCATTGTGACAGTGTCACACAGAGCAGCCTCACTGCCCTGACAAATCTGTTTCTGCCTATCTCTTTACACCCGTTCTCCACCTCAAGTCTTTTTGGCCCTGCAGACACCTACCCTGGGGAGAAGGGTCATGGCCAGGAGAGGCCAGCACTGGGTCAGGGAAGCAGCCACTTAAGCCCAGGTTTAAGCCTGGCTCGCTGCTGCGATGACTAAGAAAAAGAAATTAAGACTTAGGGACCTGCACAGGAATCCTGAACAAGTCCCATGGAGCTGGAATTTAAACTCAGGAGC